TCTTTCCTTTAAAACCACTGTCAGCTTGGCGTGAACGTTTTCTTGAGGGAGGCTGCTAATAATGACCCACGGGGCAGGCGAGAAGAGGCCAGCCGGCCAGGAGACCTCTAACACAACACCATCCCGTAGCTGTCGAGTGCCCAAGAGACACAAAGGCAAGGCCAGCCCACAAACGTCAGCGCACACACCAGCCCTGCCTCGGGAAGCCCACGTGAGAACGCCAGGCCCGCACTTCCTTCCGTGCAGTGTTTGTGACTCACGCCCCTTTGCTCACCAACGTGCAGGAAGTCCTGCCGTGTGCCGGACACCACACTGGGTTCTGAGACACAGAGCTGGACAGAACCAAAGAGCTGTCCTCCCAGAGTTTGTGCTCACTTGCAGGGAGGGGTAATGACGTCCCCCGCTCACCCTCCTCCAGCCCAGAAGTGACCACTGGTGTTTCTGGTGAGGTTCCCTGACAGCCTGGGCTTTTGTGACAATCCGTGGTGTCTCCCAGGCCTGTCCGAGAAGAGCAGGGACTGTGCCTCAATCTCTGCGCTCATCACTGTGCCCAGGACTTGCGAGGACTCGTGCATGGGAACGTGCGTCTCTTCACAGAAGCACAACAACCACAGCAAGGCCCACAGGAAGCCACAAGTGTCTTCTTCCCATCGTCCACCATCGGAAGCCCACAGCCCACCCTGCCTTCACCGGCCCTGGTGACGGGGCTGGGATGGGAGGCATCAGCGAATTATAGCGGTCATCATAGATCACACCACAGTTTTGCAATGGGTTTGATGTGATTTTTCATCCTCAAGCGAGTTGAATTCTGTAGGGGTCATAGCAGCATGAGAAAGATACAGAACACCTGAAGACACTCCTGGGGACTTGTGGGAAGGCCCTTGTGCTTAGAGAGTGTATGTGTCCTGGGCCACTGTTGGACACATAGGTGGAATTCCCATTGGGGCTCCAGGAGTCTGGACTTTATTCAAAGGACAGTGGGAGCCAGGGAAGGGTTGTGAGTGAGGACACTTAGCAACTGCTTGTAGCAGAGTGGAGGGGATGGAAGGGTGGTGAGGAGGAACGAGGGGCAGGACAGTGGGGCTTTGTGGCAACTGCTATGAATTCAGAGCAGGACGTGCTGAGCTGAGTCTGCAGAGGAGAAGCCGCACGGAGAAGTCCAGAGGCACCCAGCCCTGTGTCGCAGCCTCAGAGCAAGGGAAGCAGTCTGGGTTCTCTAAACCGTTGCTGAGACAAAATACTGGACACTCAAAATTAGAGGAAAAGTTTATTTCATCTCACAGTTTGTAGAGATGTCAGACCATAGTCAGCTGGCTCCATGGCAGGGTGGGATGGCAGAGGGGCATCTCAGGGGGGAAACAGTCCATGGCAGGGCAGGCAGAAACCAGCGAAGTGGTAAGAAGCAGCAGCAGCAGCAGCAGCCTACCTTCTTTCTGTCTCTTTATATCTGTCCAGGCTACAGGCCTATTGGTTGGTGACACTCACAGGCTGGGTGAGTCTTCCATTATTCACACTCAGAACTGTGCTAAACCAATTTGGTCATCACACTCCCTGATCCAGCCACCTCACAAAAGCCCCACGTATGAGCATATGGGACATCTACTTCCACGCCATAACAGGACAGCTGCCCTGGAAGAAGACAGGGGTCCTGGGCCACCATTCAGGAGCTAGTGGGGGGACAAGGGAGGCAGGGGCAGTCATTCATAAGACAGAGCAGTGGTCCCCGGGTGGTGGCTGGTCAAGGAATCCCCCAGACACGATGCAGATTCCTTGGCCCCGCCTGGTGAACCACATCCAGTAAGCCCAGGGCAGGGCAGGAATGCTGTCACTGAGTGCAATGCTGCCCGGGCATCTGCTTGAATACAAGTTCGTGCATCACACCAGAAGCAGGGCTCAGTCTCCCTGATGGTTTCCAGGTCTACACCATGCCTACACAGCCAAGCGAGCAGCCAGAGACAAGAGCGGGCGTCTTGGGCTCCTCCCACGTGCTTTCCTGCAGCTTTAAACAGAGTTCAGGCACAGGCCCTGGCCCATAGCCTCCCATCCTATTCCATAAACTCTCTGCTGGTGGCCTCTCTCCTCCTCTGCCCCCCCCGCCTGCTGACAACTGCTTGATTCTGACTCCTCAGCCTTGCCTGGGGTGCCCCCGGGGGCAGAGGCCGCCTCTGGCCCTTGGTGTCCTTGCACAGGAGCCTCGGGAAACGCTGGCCTGTTTCCGTGGTGGCAGGGACTGTTTTGCATCCCTCTGCACATGCAGGGGCTGCCCTGGCGGGGATTTCCCCGGACTCCAGAGAGAGCACAAGGGGCCTCTTTGCCCCAGAGCAGTGGCCAAGCAGCATGGACCAGACATGGTCAGACGAGAGCCACAGGGGTGCTGCCAGTGGCAGTGTGGACATTAGGCATCAGGCTGCCCACCAGGTAAAGAGGTGTCCCAGCCAAGTGTGGTGGCACATACCTGTAATCCCAGCCCTCTGGGAGGCTGAGGCAGGAAGATCACAAGTGCAGGCCTAGTGGGGGTAACTTAGAAACTTAGCAAGATCCTGTATCAAAATTAAAAACGGGCCAGAGGTATAGCTGAGTACAAAGGCCCTGGGTCCAATCCCCAATACCATAAGAAAGGAAGGAAGGAAGGGAAAGGGGGAGGGAGAGCTCAGCTATCGTTACACACTGTGAATTTTCAGCAAGTCGATCATTTATTCCCTTCATTCAACACGTATTTCCTACAACGCTGGGCCCTGGGAGACATCAGGAGTGGCCACAACAGGAGGTGCGGAGTGGTCCACAGATCTCCCGGAGGCCAGAGCCCCACGTGCAGGCCTGCCCTGAACACACCACAAGGAGAGGGGCTGGGTCTCTACAGCAGCTGTGAGAGGCCACAGAGGGGACCCACGTGCTCAGGGAGGTGGGGAGGCTCCGAGCCCAAGACCCCAAGGGCTCCGTGCTGAAGACAGGACCCTTGGTGACGTTGCTCACCCGTGTGGCCTTGCGGAGGTCCAGGCTGGCAGAGAGATGGCTGAGGTCGACCCGGCGCTGGGCCTGGTGCTTCGAGGGAGAGAAGGGTGGCAAGCTGCCTGCAGGCAATCCCCCACGGTGTGTAAGCCTGCGTGGCGGCGGGGGCTGGGATCACAGTGGGTGACATCAGCAGAGGGCCCGGTGCCCGCGGTCACGGCGAGGGTACTCTTGGCTGCGCCGCACTTCCCAGCTCCTCGCTGCTGCTGCTGCTGCTGCGCCGTCCCCGCTCACCGCGCCTTCCTGAAAAGCGAACACTCTTTGTCTTTAGACTCCAAGCTCAGGCTGAGCAAAACAGAAAACACCAATAAGAACTTTGAAAGACCCATGCATTTTTCACAAGTTTCAACAGAGCACATTCTTTAAAAATATTCAATTTAACACTGGTGGTCTGTTGAAGGTAAAGAAGTTATTCCACAGTGGACAAGCTACTAATAGCAACTTCTCTCCAAGCTTCACTAAGTAACCTTCCCTGCATTTATATAAACTATGTGCCACTGTGGGCACAAATAGGTAACCCCTCCGAGCGACTGTGTCTCTGGCCCAGCTGTCTCCCTGCGGATCTGGACCCTCTTCGGCCCCGACCTGCTTACTGTGGGTTCCTGCCTTCCTCCTTGACCAGTTACCAGCTCCCACTTGTAATTGTGTTCAGGTTACAAATGTGAAAAACATGAAAATCCTAAGATGTGGCAAAACCAGAAACATCAAAGTCCTCGCCTGCCCTGGTCCGCGCACATTTCTGTCTGGCCATAGCCCCCGGCACTGGCAGGGAGGCCACAGGCAGAAAGCTCACCGGGTGGAGGCTGGGCACGAGGGCAGCACCCCCTCCTTGCTCCCTGAGGCTGCAACTCAGGCCGGGCTGCGAGCTGCAGGGGTGGGGTGGGGTCTGCATAGCGCACACTCAGCACAGCCCGCACACCCCCCTGAGAGTCAGCCACCACTGTCACTCAGACGACCTCTCAGACACACGGAATATTTGCAGTGTGGGTGATTGTTTCCATGGTAACTGAACTTCCCGATTTCCACATATTTAACCCACTATTTTCTTTTTAAAAAAGAAAGAAGTTTACAGGCTACAATTTTCATTCTTAGCATTACATTTGCATAAAGTTCTTTATTTATCACCCTGGTGTTTGCACGTCTGTCTGGTTCCTGTCCTTTGTGTTTATGGTTTTGTGGCCCTGATGTGTTAGATAAATCCTGGTGTCCTCACAGGCCACGTGGCAAGCGGCTCTGTGCAGATTTGGTTACCTGGGGGCATCTGTTGTCCTGGGCAGTGAGGAAAATGTGCAAGTGGGCCAGAAAAGAGCTGCAATCCTGTGAAGTTGTACCGTAAAGCAGAATTTTGAAAGTTAAGAATTTATCCTGTCATCCAGACAGCAGTTTTAAAAAGTCTGACCTAAATATTAGCTTCTTAAAAAACGTGATTTCAAAGCAATGAATTTATATAATATAAAACTCACCCAGATGTGTGGTGGGGCCTGGGTCTGGCCTATAGAAAGGCACCATGCTGGGGACCCCTGGTGGGGAAGGCACAGAGACGCGTGCAGCAGGACACCATGGGGTGCAGAGGTGCAGCGGGGTGGCTCCGGGCGGCAGTGAGCACCACACACGTCCAGAGCTGGGGAGGACTCTGAGCACGTTCTCCATAAAGAAACCGTAAATGTGTGAGGAGATAGATGTGTTCACTCTGATTTAATCACCACACAACATATACATACATCAAACCTTTCCACAGCACCCCGTGATATGTAATTTTTATGTTTTTATGTATCAGTGAAACAGTAAATATAAAAAATATAAAAAAGCAAACATCTCCCACCAAAGGAAAGCAATATACTATGATGTATGCTATAGCTACTTATACATAATTTTTATTCCTGGCAGCCACATTAAAATAAGTGTAGTGAAAGTAATTTTGATAATACTTTGCTTTTAGTGTGATGGTTGGGAATACCCTATCTTAGCGTGTGGCTAATACTTACAAGCTCTGGGAGAGTTGGCACTTTTTTCACACTATATCTCTGGAACCCAGCGTGTGCTTTGACTTATGGACACATCCATGTGAGCTCACGTCCTGGTGCTCACGCTTGTGCAGGGTCCTTGCTGGTCTCTCCGCTTTGCCCCACCTGAGGATCAGCTGGAAGAAGAATCAGCTGGGGAAGGCACAGTGCAAGCTCCGTGCCGTGCCGCCTCGTGTTGAGGGGTCCGGGCGCACCTCACCTGTGTCCAGCTGCCTGTGTCCCTGTGGGGCAGCGGCCACATTCTCAGGCACCAGGCGCACAGCGGAGGGCTCTGGGGCCCATGCAAGCTGCTGGCTGTGCTCAGGACCCCAGACGACCCACAGCTTCCCTTCCAGCCCCCTTCATCCGCTGGGACAGGGCCATGGCTTCCAGGCTGGGGACCCCGAAGGCCTCGGTCAGCTGTGGGAGAGATCATCCTGCTCTGTGCGCTGGGCCTCCTTGGAGAAGTCTCTTTCAAGCATGGCCAGCAAGCGGCTTTGCACTGGCCTCTGTTTGCTCTTCCAGGGGGACTGCTTGTCATCACAGCTTCTTCCTGATTTCCAAGACCACTGTCCCCGAGGCTGCCGTGACTGCACACCTTCTGGAAAGCTGTGACTGCACACCTGGCTAGAAGCCCTTCCTGTGGACGGAGTCCCTGCCCCTCGACCTCTCCCCGGCCCACAGGCTGCACATCCCAGTCCCTGCTGTTGTCCTGGTTGCCCCTCCCTGTAGTTCTGTGGGTCACCACCCTGGCCTCTCCAGGATCCCCACACCATCCCAGGCCGGCTTCCCAACACAGCAGTCCTGATCCCTCTGATCCCACAGCTCTGTTCTAGATCCAAGGCTCTCACTGCCTCCCTCTGCTGTCTACACAGTGGAGTCCAACCCTTCTTATCGGCAGGAGAACCCTGGGTCATTCAGTCCAGGTGCTCCAGGGAGCCCAGGACTTAGATAAAATCTGGAGCAGCTCTGGGTAACGCAGGGGCAGAGGCCTCAGGATCTGCCCCCAAGTCCCCCAGGTCTGCCCCCACCAGGCCCAAGCAGCCCAAGAGCCCAGTAGCTCTTGCACACACCTGGGGCTCTGCACCCTCGGGTTGCCGTTCGAGGCCCAGCAGAGGCTGGCCCGGCCCCTCCACCGATACTCCGCACACCCTGGAGACATGGGCCAGGCATTCAGGATCCTCCTGGGCCGTGCTCTGGGCCAGGTGTGTCTTCCTGCTCACACCACCCTGATTGCTGCTCTTGGTTGTCACCCAGGTTCAGCGCCAGTGTCACCCTGCATGTAGAAGGCCTTCCCTGCCCTGTGAGCTGCCCAGAGAGAGCCAGCAGCCCCCACCTCACCGTCCCGAGCGTCACCTGTGCCTGCCTCTCCTGGCACCATCACCTCCAGCCCAGCCCAGGGCCCAGTTATAAAGGTGGGACTGTGTCTATTCCATCACCAGCAGAGGCGAGAGCCTCACTTGGATCTGTGACAAGTTCCAAGAGGCTGGTGAGCCCTGAACTGGAAACTGGAGCCCTTGGATTCTACTCTGGCTCTGACCCAGCTAAGACTTCAGATCCAGCCTCCTCGGCCATCGCCCCAGTGCTCTGGGCACACAGCACGATGCCACCAGGGGCGAGTTTGTGGGATGCAGCTGCTCAGGCTCTGCCGTGGATGACTGGGCTACAGGATGACAGCAGAAGCGCTCATTAGGAGGAGCGCTCTCCAAGTCCCTTGGCCGAAGTGCCCTTGCCCAGGTTGCCTCCTGCACCCTGAGGGGCCAGACGGGACTCCTGGGGCGCTTGGTGGGGCAGGGCTGCTGGTGAGGTCTCCAGGCTCTAGGGCACTGAGCTTTCACCCATGGGACAGTGCTCCTCTGTGACAGGAAGTGCTTGTCTGGGCAGTGCTCGTCCGGGCAGTGGTCTACAAAGCTTCATGGAGATACGACACTAAACCCGAATGTTTCTGACCTCACAAAGCACGTCCATTTCAGATTTGGTTCAGTGTTTTAATCAGTGCTACCTCCCAGTCAGGATTATAATCACATCAATTAAGGTGGAGAGGAACTTGGGGTGCTCACAGCTTCTTGTCCTCCGCTGAGACGTGCTGATGAGTACTGGGCAGACATGTCCGGGCAGAGCGGCTCTGTCACTGTGGTTCAGGCTGCTGCCACATGGCCCTAAGGTCACGGTGTCCAGGACCCTCTGATTTGCCCCGACCGTGATCTTATTAGCAGGATGAGGAGCTCTGTGACCCTAACAGAGGGCTGTATGGACTCTGCTCAACCTGGCCACAGTCACCTGGAGTCACGGCCGCTGCACCTGTCCCTGGTTTCCCCTGAGCTTCCCAGAGTATTGAAGACATTCGTGGGGTGTGTGCAGCTCTATAGTTGGGGCCTGCAGCCTGGATGCCAGAAGGCACTTGAGGTCCTTCATGTTAGCTTCAGATAAGCCAGGGACGTTTGTATGAGGCTGGTGTCCCTTTGGTGCCCGCCACCTTGTGAATCCCTGCTTCTGACCCACATCACGGGAAGCCCTGGTCTTGCCACACCCAGGAATACAGGTCACCAAGTGCCCATAAGCTGCCCTGTGCAGCCTGGGTCTGCGTCTCTTGGGGCCATGGGGCAGTTCTCACACGTGGGGGCCAGGAGTCCTGCAGCGTGGGGCCCCCATCCCACCCATCAGTCTCCCTCTCCCCACATCTCCAGGGCCCATGTAGATGCAGCAGACCCTGAGGCCACGCCTTCCCAGCAGCCTTTTACCTAAACAGTTTTAGGTCCATTAATCTTTTCCTAAAGGAATCTGCAGAAATTTTTGCAAGCCTATTATTAAGTCTTAAAACTTGTAAGCAGAGCCCAGCAGGATGGGAAAATACTCCTGACTGCACATAGGGAGCCAAGCCTCCCACACAATAGCCCTGCACCCCGTCCAGACCGAGGTCAGGGACAGTGAAGAGCCTGCCAAGGTCACAGGGACTCCAGCTCCCTGACCTCCCTCCGAAGCTTTCAGGTTAAACCCGGGGGGCCTCATTATGGACGGAGTCTCACCACCCTGGGCAACAAGGGCAAAAACAATAAATGTGATTTCTGGGTGGTGCTCACTGATGCTATTTCAGAAAGCTGCGCGCAACATTGTTGGCCTGACAAAAAAGGAATATTAAGGAAGAATGGACTCTTACTTCTGCTGTTCTCAAGTTCAAAAGTACAAAGGACAGCGGTTTAAGAGGAGAAGAGGTGTCTCACCGCAGAGGGGAAGGTGACAGGAAGTCCTAACTGCTACTTCCCCAGCGCTCAGGGCAGCTGGACTTAGGTTCAGACTCCTGTACCCGCTGGTTCCTGAAGGCCTCTCCTCCCTGCCCCTAGCGCATTGTGAAGTGGCCCCAGCGTCACAGGGGCTGGACGGGCCTGGTGGCGACCTTGCCTGCCGGGACCCCACAGACGCCAGCGCCCAAGAGGATGCCGGGCTGCGACCCCGGGGCCCGCCCGCGTCCCCTCCCGCGCGCGCCCTGCAGCCTGAGCCCCGCAGTGAGTGGGCCTCGGCACCCAC